CATGATAAAACAGCCTGATTAGGGCGATGATAATTTTTGTTTTCTGTTTTGGGTTCTTTGGAAACACAAGAATATCCCTTCCTCTAGCCTGGTGGGCAGGGGGATTAGGAAAGAATCTCAAATTAGGGGTTAGGTCTAAGATTTGAACCCTGGACTGATGCCAAAGTGTTTAGAACACTACTCTTCTAAGGCTTTGTTTTATTTATTTATTATTTTTTTAAGATTTTATTTATTTATTCATGAGAGACAGAGGGAGAGAGAGAGAGAAGCAGAGGGAGAAGCAGGCTCCCAAGGAGCAGGGAGCCCGATGCGGGACTCGATCCCAGGACCCTGGGATCATGACCTGAGCCGAAGGCAGACGTTTAACCATCTGAGCCACCCAGGCGCCCGCTTTGTTTTATTTTTAAAGAAAGGTTTTTAGATTCATATATATATATTTTTTGTCTCTCTACAATAATAACCCTAAGAGGGATTCTTAGGGTGCTCTGACACCTATATTGAATTTTACTACCATGGCCTGCTTAGGATGAATTATTATCATCATGGGGACCAAGAATGTTTGTTGTCATCATACAGCCTTGGTTTCAAAACCTGGCTCTACCACTTAACTGCTTTGTGATCCTAAGCATGTGGCTAAATAACTTTCTGAGCTTCCATTTCTTGATTTGTGCAATGGGGATATTGATGCTTCAGTAGGACTTTGGGGAGAAGTAAGTGCCTAGCACAATGTTAGCTGCTATTAGGAAATGCCCTCAGCTTTCTCCAGGCCTGCTTCCTTGAAAAGGTGGAGCTGTGCCTCCGGAGCTAGCCTATTCTCATCCTTTCAGCTTTGGGAAGATGTGTGTGTGTTGGTTGGTAGGGAAAGGACGTCAGGTTATCATCTGGTAGTTGCCCCGCACCCCCCCCCAACCTCCATAATTTCTCATCCAAATGGACAGGAACAGACATACAAAACTTGGAACTTAAACAGAGCTTGTTACTTATGGTAAAGGCTGGTTAATTAGGACTCTTAACGAAAAGTCTTAAGTGGCTTTTCCCCCACCCCTGTTCCCATTCCTCTTATGAAAAAGAAGCAAAAAGACTAGAAGAGTTAATTATTGGAGAGCTCCCCTTCAAGGGGCTAGTCCATGGTTAGAAGATACTGTGCTCCCTGCACACCCCACCTGTCCCCTAAGATCTAGCCTACCTGCCTCTGCATTGTATCTCCTGGAGCCTGGCACAGTTTTTCAGTAAACATGTGTTAGAGGAATGAAGATATAGCCTAGGCGCCAGCTAGACTGGGCTGTTGTTGTTTTCTAGACGTGCTCTGCATTTTCCTGCTTCCATGCTCTCATTTATACCTGGAGTGCCTCTCCCAGTTGTGGCCCTGTGGACTTGGGGTTGGAGTTACTGGTGCCTTGTCTTATGCCTCTTATAAGCTAGTAGGCTCCTTGTAGGCATCAGCGGTGCTTTCTTCATTTTTGAAGAAACACTGCATCTGGTACACTATACATTAATGGTTATTGACCATTTGCTGTGATCTCAGTAAATGTGAGTTACTTCCATTTGCTTATTTAGTGCCCATACACCTTTACGAAACAGGTACTGTTATTAGCCCCATTTAACAGATGAGAAAACTGTGTAGCCTTAGGAAATTGAGTATCATATCACTAGAAAGTTTGTTGAACTTGATGGAATTCAAATGGGTCTCTAAGGCCTTTGGGGTCCACAGCCTTATCCACAGGACCTGCAGTCCCCAGGGATGTCTCTGATGAAGCAGAAAAACTCCTCTCTTGGAGGGCAGTGCTGCCCAGAGAACTGGACTTTGTGAAGCAGGAACATGGGCTGATGTAATATTCATCTTTCCTTTCTAGAGAGTTTCTTAAAGAACTCAAAATGGTCTCATCAATATACATATTGTCGTCTCTGAGCTTCCAAACAAGCTTGAGACCTAGGTCAGTGATTACAGTCCCATTTTATGGACAATGAAGCCAAAGGCTAGAAAGAAGTGACTGTAAGAGGTGGAGTCAGGACTCAAACCCAGGCCTTCTCACTCTTAGCCAAGCTCTTGACTGCATTCTCTAATACACCAAAGCAAACAAAGAATCCACAAACAAACAAGTGTTAAAGGTAGAGGATTCTCAGGGAGGTATCTTCCGGGAGCAGAGGTGTTCCTTTCTGGGAAGTGGCTTGGGAGAGGGCTGACTTGAATATAAAGTCTGCTGGGTAACTTGTGTTTCCCAGGAAATCAACTTGGCCAGACAGCCTGTTCCTGCTTTTCTATCTTGTTGAGTGTTGCTGATAGAAAGGGGACTCTGGGGGCTCCACCCTGTCTCCTCAGACAGAAGGGGAAGGGAAGGAGTTTCCCTCTTTGCTCCCTTTCTCTGTGTTTCCCTGCTCACGAATCTCCTGGGTCCCAGGGTGCTAGTCCTGGATGGGAATCTGCTGCCTCTGCCTACTAGCTGCCCCCTCCTCACCAGCTGCTGCTTCCTGGGAAGATTTCTGGAGGGATTTCAGTGGGAGGTTCTAGATGGGCAGGGCAGCAGCCCACTTCAGAAAGAAGGGACCTAGGTTCAAATTCTCTTGTGCCCCAGAGACAGAGATGGGGAAGCATGGGGGCTGTTTCCTGCCTTGATTGATCTTTGAGAATTTCTGGTTTGTTCACCAAGCCACTTAGAATACATGTCGCTGCACTTCATCTTCCTTTGCAAAATCCAAGCCCATCTACTTTTGGCTTTATGAGCTTTGTGGAAGTACTTTTCACACCTCGGTTTTTAACTTCTTACCTCCCCCTCTTCTCTCATTCTTTTCCCTCCTCCAAATGTCAGGTTTTGGTCAGCCAAAGAAAAGGCAGGGAGGCTCTGTGTGGCTCTGAACCACGGGGATGTTGGTGCTCGTTTGCCTGACTCTCCTGCTGAGCTCAGCCTTGGCAGGTCCACAGAGTCTTGATGTCCATTCTGCATTTTGTTTTGGTGTGGTGACTTCACACCAAAATTTTCTCTCCACTATTTCTTGGTGTTGCCAGCAGATGGAGGTCTCTGGTCCAAAGACTTCTTGGAACGGAAAGGGCATGTAGGGAGAATCCTGTTACTTTCCCAGGCCTCCAGGCCAAGAAGGCATTCCCATCACCCAAAGGAGATTGTTCACTTGTTTTTATTTAAAAATTTTTAGGAATAGACGCTTTAAAAAGTAATATGATCTACTCTTAAATATTCCCTTCGTTAGGGAAGTCTTTTAAATATCTAACCAAAAATCTAACCAAAGGCCTTTTCCTGTTCACATATGGAGAAGCACGACCAGCTTTTTACTTTATGGCATTTGCTTCCCATTGTAAAGGATCTGCCTTTTAAATTTGTTTTTGTTATGTCCAAACATTCCTGAGTTTGGTGGTGGACAAGGCTTAATTGTGGGCCCAGTGATCTCAGTGGGCCACTGGGGAGCAGGTGGGGAGCCCTTTCTGTCCAGTGAAAGGCAGACCAGGTTGTTTGTAACCGGATCTCTGAGAGTAAAATACTGACATTTGGAGGCTCTGGATGAAGGGGAATTCTTTGGGTCCAAAAGTATTTCAACACAGAGTTTAAAATAAATTTTATAAGAAATGATTTAAGTCTTCTTTGGCTTTTAAGAAGCCGATGAACGTGAGAGCGGAGCTGAGCATGCTCTGGTTTCCCTTTCCACTGTGCAGCTAGCTGCGGCAGGCCCGCTCCGTCCACAGCTTCCGGGCACGGAGCACTCTGAATCTCACCCAGGGGCTGGCCAGGCCACGTGGGGGTAGCCGTCGCTGGCAACTGGGAGGTGTCACCTCTAGAATTATCCAAGAAGCTACCAGGCCAGAGAGGGGCCACCAAAGAAAGAAGAGAGGGGGCCAGGAGCCTGGAGGGCAAGGAGCAAAGATGCTCCTGGGGTCCGTGGGGCAGAACCATGAGAGAGCCCCAGAAAGGGGCACATGACAAAGGACCCTGTGATCTCCAGAACCCACTGCATCAGGAATTGTCAGCTCTTGGGCCACTGTACCTTGGCATAGCTTGTGAAAATACTTTCACACTTCCTTTCCCATCACAGCATGGGAGTGAAGCAAGATGAGCCGTTGTATCCCCATTATACAGAGGGACAGTGAGGCCTAGGGAGGTGAGGCCATTGGCTCAGGGACACGTCTTGCAAATGGCAAAGCCAGAATTTGAGTCTAGCTGCCTTCTTTCTGAAGTGTACACTCCTTCACTGACATTTCACTGTCTCTGTAATAGCAACATGGTGGCCTGGGCGAAGGTCAGGGTAGGAATTGCACTTGGCACTTCCCTTACGTGGACATCCGGCCTGTGTGTTTTGTCTTGGTTTAGGTGTCCCCAGAGTCCCCTCCATCTTAATGGTTCCCACTGGCCTGGCTGTCATGGACTGTTGCTAGTGGTAGTGGTGGGGGGCAGCTGTGTTGCCTTGTTGCCTGGACAGATGCTTAGTTGGGCCTCCTTGTGAATCAGAGACCGTAGTAGGCTTGACTTTGACACAAAAGGATGATGTCTTCCGCCAGCCGTGAAATGTTGACTTCGTACCAGAACCCCCGGAGACTTCCAGCCACACAGCAGTTCTGACCCACTTTTGTTTGGCCGAGCTGCAGGGGGCACTGTCTGCAAATCTGCCAGCTTGCGCCTTGAGGGGAAATGAGCTCAATTAAGTAGGCAGGTCCCAGTGAGGCTTTTCTGCAACGCCATTAATAATCGCATGGAGCATGGAAAAAATATAACCTCACATCTCTCTGCCCCATTTTCATCTGTGTCGATGTTCAGGGTGGAGGATCACACAGAGGGATGCCTTTGCTGCCAAATTAAGAGGCTAGTTTCCCTTCAGCCAGGATGTGCTGTCTTTCTGTCTGCCTCTCTCTCTGTCCCTTTTCTTCATGCCTGCCCCCAAAGTGCCCAAGACTCCGCTGTGAATTTCACAGATTGCCAGGGCCATGGAAGGGCAGCAGTGTGTTATAACTTTGTTTTCTGAACTTCTGCCTTTTTTTTTTTTTTTTTTTGGAACAGAGCAGCACTTTCCAGAGGTGATGCTGGGGGAAGAATTTCTTAGCCTAAGTCTGGACCAGGTGTGCAGCCTGATATCCAGTGACAAGCTGACCGTTTCTTCAGAGGAGAAGGTACGGCATGGCCCCTTGGTGAAACAGGACCCTCATGTGTGAGGCGGCCATGGGAGGGACAGCGAGACCTTGTCTCTTTTTCAGCGGAAAAAAAAAGGAGCTCATTTTTTTTTTTGTCCCTTTAAATAATTAGAAAAGGACCTTCTGGCTCATGTTTGCTACATTTGTTGTCTGGATACTTTGAGGAAGAAATAACGCTGGTGAAGATGATGGTGACAAAGCTGCCTGCATTAACTGGACATTTACAGTTTGCCAAGCACTCTGCTAAGTGCCTTGTTCTCTTCAGTTCCCTCAGCCTTCACCACAGCCCCATGAAGCAGGCATTGCCCTTGTCCCCACATTGCAGATGAGGAAAACTAACTTGGAGGAGTTAATTAGCTTGTCTGCAGTCACTCGGCTGGTCACTGCAGAGTTGCGGTCTTCCTGTGACCTGGTCTTAGTCATTGTCCCACATGGCCTCTTGGGAACATCATTGAGCATTTAAGCCAGAGCTGACCTTTGGGAAATGTCTATTCTAACAGGGGATTGGAACTTTCACTGTTGAGAAAACTGAGGCTCAGAGAAGGGATAGGATCTGTTGAAGGTCCCACAGTGAGTGACCGTGGCAAAACTAGAACCTGGGTCTCTTGACACCTAGTGCCCTAACTCACCGACTATACACCACTTCCTTGGTGCTGCAGGCTTGATTTCTGCCCACTGCTTTAGCTGACCCGCGAGGGCTGATCTGTCCCTACCTCTAGGTCTTCCTTCTCACTGACCTTCTGCTTGGATTATTCTCCCTTTTCCAACGTCACCTGTTGGAAACCAGTTCCCATTCCAGTTCTATCAGGAAGAACTTCTTTACTCCAGGAGATGTAGTCTCCTATATTGAAAGTAACATACACTTTGGTGTTGGCCAGTAGGGTCCAAATCTTATCTCAAGTATTTACAAATTAATTGGTGACCTTGGGTGAGATAGTTTGCTTCTTCATCTGTTTCTCATGTATAAAGTGAGAATGGTAATAGGACATACTCCAGGGGTGGTTGTGGGGATTAAATGGGATAAGGTGTTTCAAATGCCTGGTGTCATACCTGGTACTTGGTAGGTGCTCATTCGGAGGTAGCTGAGTTTATTATTGACCATGTGTCTGGAATTTATTCCTTTCTCCTCTGTGTTCCAGGATAATATTCAACTTGTTTTACTGCAGTTAGTTTTGAGCCCATCTGACCTCCTCGACTTGACCATGAGTTCCCTGATGGTAGCAACCACATCTTACTCTTCTCTGCATCCTCAGAGATGCTCAGTACATGTTTCTTGGATTGTCTTAGTCCGCTCATTGTGTCCCAGCTTGAGGTCCTTTTCTGAGGAAATATTTAAGGAAAAGCCTTTAAGAGCGATCTTACATTGGAGATGAGTGTCCAAAGCCACATGTCCAGAGAATGGGATGGCATCACAAGCCCCCGCCTGTTGTCCTGCAAAAGTTTGATCCAGAGGAAAAGCAGTTGTGGATTGGAATCATGGGCTGCCCCAAGACTTCAGAGGGATTTCCAGAAGGTTGACTGGCACAACTAGCTGGACTGTCTCTTAGACTCAGTGAGGCTCTACTTTCATTAACTGATGTGAGATATCGCCTGCAGGGTAAAGGATGCCTCTGGCCAGGCCATGGCCTCTTCCTGCTCCAGCCCCAGCAGCAAAGACTCCCTGACTTCTTGCCAAGCCCTGTTTAGTGTCTTCTCCAGATGGTGCTACTAAATGGGCACAGTTTGAAGGAAGGAACTAGTTAGTTGATTGACCATGTGGTAGTTGGTGCAGTTGGCCAGTTTGGGGCCTACTTGAGTGTATCCTCAGGTGTAGTCTGAGAAAATGACAACAGCCATATAAGCAGCAGGATTTGGATCGTCTTGGGGGTATTTGGGTTGAGAGGGGGGACCCTGCTACCTTTAACTCCTGCGGGCCCATCCTGCTCTGAGATCATAGTAAGCTTTCCTCAGGTGAGGGCTTGTCTGTGCTTGCTGTGTCAGGGTGGGGTGGAGGTGGGTTGTTAAGAGGGAGAGGCATTTTAGTGCCCTGGAAACCACTTGGGCTTTGGAAGTTCTTCAGGAAGACCTGTTTCCATGCTCCACTTGATGCTTACTGGCTCCTTGATTTTCAGAAGTCACTGGTCTCTTTGAACCTTAATTTTCTTACATGTAAAGTGGGACTGCTAACTCCCTTATGGAGTTAGGAGGATCACAGATACTGGGTTTAAAAAATCAAATATAGTGTTCAGTAGGTGCTAATAAATGGCGGCTGTCACTGTAATTACCATAGTCCTCTGTTTTGAGGCACCATTGACAATGGTCATGGTATAGTGTTGCCACTGATAATGGTAAAATAAGCCATGGAGTTAATTGCATCTTTCCAGAAGCAAAGAAGCATGACATTAAATCTATGTGCTTAGAACATTGTCTATAGTGGCTCTCATTCATTCATATGCTTACATAGGAGTTGCTTGTTCTGTGTAATTAGAGTTTAGAGTAGTATTTTTTTTTTTTTAAGATTTTATTTATTTATTTGAGAGAGAGAGTACAAGCAGGGTGTTGGGGGGGTGTGCCTGGGTGGCTCAGTCGTTAGGCATCTGCCTTCCGCTCAGGTCATGATCCCAGGGACCTGGGATCGAGCCCCACATCGGCTCCCTGCTCCGCGGGAAGCCTGCTTCTCCCTCTCCCACTCCCCCTGCTTGTCTTCCCTCTCTCGCTGTCTCTCTCTCTCTGTCAAATAAATAAATAAAAATCTTTAAAAAAGAAAAAAAAAACCAAGCAGGGTGTTGGGGGAAGGCAGAGGGAGAAGCAGACTCCCCACTGAGTAGGGAGCCTGACGCAGGTCTCAATCCCAGGACCCTGAGATCATGACCTGAACCGAAGGCAGATGCTTAACCGACTGAGCCACCCAGGCGCCCCAAGAGTAGAGGTATTTTTCACGTCAGCGAAGTTGTAGATTGTATTTGGTTCTCAGAAGTTATTTGTAACTTCAGAGTTGCGTGATGCTTTTCAAAAGTAGATTGCTGATGATCTTGATCCCTTTGGTACCTTTAAGGTTGGCAGTATAGTTTTTTTTAATTTTAAAGGTTTTATTTTTCAGTGACCTCTGTACCCACACTTGAACTCACAACCCCTAGATTGAGATGCATGCTCTACCGACTGAGTCAGCCAGGCGCCCCCTAAGGTTGACAGTATAATTTTGAGGCTTTATCAAAGAACAGTGGAGTTTGGCCCGTATTTTCTATTTCTAATTTTATTTCCCCTAATTGATTACATATTTCTGGAAGTTAAATAGCTGGAAGCTTTTGACAATTGGATGTTTGTTGTTTGAATGCTAGCTCTTGAGGCTTTGAAAATTCTGTGATGTGTTCTCGGCGATTTTGTGATTTCTACTTCCTTTAGTTACATTTCATAATAAGTAACCTCTTGCATATACAATAGCCTTTTCTTTCACTATTGCATTGTAGTGAACTTAATGGAGTATATTTGAAGTAATATAAGGGATCTTAATTTAAGCTGAAATTCAACTGCATTTGATGTTAACATTTGCGGGGGCTGCGTGGCTCAGTCAGTTAAGCGTCCAACTCCTGATCTCTGCTTGGGTCTTGATCTCAGACTCCGTTCAAATCCCACATCAGGCTTCATGCTGGGGTGGAGCCTACTTTCAAAACAAAACAAAACAAAGAAAAAACCCTCCAAAAACATTTGCAGAAAACTGAACTGCACTGGTAATCAAATAACCTGTATTGAGCTAACTCCATATTTGAACAGTAAATCAGCTATATTATGATTTACTTCTTTGTCTACAGCCCACAGATTTCTTTTGCAGCCAGATTTCAGATATTAAAATGTGAAAAAACTGTGCATCTGAGAAGAGAGGAAATGTGGTATTTTAGTAATGAGGTTTATAAGTGGCTGTGGCTAGGCCCAGGCAGTTTGCTTGCCGGGAGTTTGAAAAAGTAGAGGTTCTGTGGTTGAAGTGGCTGAGTTCCAATCCTGCCTCCACTGCTCTAACAGGCTGAGGGACTTTGAGCAAGTTATTTGTCTCCCACCAGAATGGATGCACCATACACAGTCATGGATTTTCTCCGTCTTACGGTCACTGCCAGGGTGGTGTTGGTATCAGGTTCACGGCAGACACATAAACAAACACCATTTGTTGAGTGAATAAGAGAACTTCTCTACGTCTCAGTCTTCTCATCTGTAAAAGGGGGGCAATGATAGTAGAGTACCTATCTGAGGATGAAATCAGATGACACCTGAAAAGTTCTTAGCCCACAGGAAGTGTTCATTACTGTAAGATATGATTACTGCTGCTATTATTATTACCACTATCTTCCTCCTCCTCCTCCTGCTCACTGTTGACTGGAGGCATCTCTCAAGGGGAAGCTCTTCCCAGAGCCCATGTTAGTCTGGGTGGTTGTGTGACCTGGGGCTTGGTGCCAAGCAGGGACAGAGAGTGGGAGTAGCCTCTTGCTCTCGGACATTCCCAGCTCCCTGGGCCCCGTCGGGGCTTCTCGCAGGGCTCAGATACTGTTCTTCCTCCAGCATCACTGGCTGTTACCCACACCTCTGTCCTCCACTATTCTTAAGCTCCTGAGGGCTGCGAGGGTTTCTCAGCCATCCTTGTGCCACGGCAAGCTGACCCAGAGCCCTCGGCCAGCTCTGTGGAGCTGCTAAGCAGATCTTCCCTGAGGGAGTGAAGGCGCAGACTGGGGCTGGATGCCGCCCCGAGCCAGCTGAGGCTGTGGGAATAATTGTCACATTTTTTCAGGGAATAAGGACAAATGTGGGAACTAGAGGTCAGAGGACGCATGGATCCCTGCCATTTTCTCTCCTGTTTTTCCTTCATGTAGTTTTGGTTTTAAAATTCCTGGTAATTGAGGGAAGACAAAAGGACCTGGTAGGAGTTACAAAATCATGAGTTCTTTGGGTGGGACCCCTTCCCTCTGCTGCCGCTACCACTCCCCTACCCCAGGGCAGAGCAAAGGCACCCCGGA